GTCAAAAACAAAATGGCGCCCGAAAATAAATTTTCATCGGTGCAAAAAAAAAAATCTGCCTACTCAATTTCTGGCAGTGCTAAAGAATTGATACTGCAGGATGTTATTCTTAGAGACATGATGTCACCAGCATTGTAAACTACATTCCAAATATATGCTTGGAAACAAAAATAATGACACGAAAAATCAAAAGGCAATGAATCGGTGAGAGGCCATCTTTATTTTGAACGGAAAAAGTGATGCCTAAATATGATATGTATACATGTACATGTATAACATAATAAAACACACACAATAAACCGATCCACCAACTACATGTACAACTAGGTTTAAGCTATCCAATAAAGGAAAAAACATCGACCTTTCTAAAACACATGACGAATAGAAGGGGCCAACCGATCAGGGTTGTTAGAAGTGTTCCAAGTTGCGATCCCTGACAGAGTACCTCAAATTTAAGTGCGATATTCACGAATAATAATGTCAATATGTGATAACTTTGTATCTATATTTAGTAAGCTAGATGTTCTTTTGTTAGTGGTCACATGACCACCTTTGAGTTTGTAATGGCGGCAAAGCTTGCCAAGTTGTAGTCTGCAGTTCCACAGAATAAAACTGAGTTAACGTGTTAATTGCCGTTTTTCCTGTGTGGATCTTTGCGGTGGTGGATAGGCAAACACTCGGTTACTACATAAATGGCGACGAGGATAACAGGAATGACCTTAAGGTGAAAAATCGAAATTTTTTTTCCACGGACGGTTGTTGTACTGCAGACTATGTGTCAAAAAGGCCAAGCTGTGTGCTTCGTAAATTTGATGGTTACTGCATTTTCTGTGTGAAATACTACAACAGGAGGTATCGGACTTCGTGACTGTATAACTACAACTCTGTGTGAGTTAAAATAGTAAGTGAGTATCTAAGAATTATTCACGTGAACTTCCGTTGCTAAAACGATATACCTAATTACGTATTCAGAATGGCGCTAATCGGAAACGTTAGCGAATTCGACCCAGAACTTGAGTCATGGACGGAATACAGTGAAAGATTGGAACATTATTTCGTAGCTAACAAAATAGTAGAGCCAGACGTGAAGAGATCTGTGTTAATTGCCATAATAGGTCCTAAGGCGTACAAACTTTTGCGAAATTTGTGCAAACCAAAAGAACCAGGCAAGTTATCGTTCACTGAGTTGTGCGAGATGTTAACCAAGCATCACGACCCGAAACCGTCAGAAACTGTTGCACGACTGAAATTTCACAAACGCAACCGACGAAATGGTGAAAGTATAGCTGATTATGTGGCTTCCTTGAAATCGTTAACAGAACACTGTAATTTTAACTCTCTGTCTGAAGAACCACAGGATCAGATGCTACGTGATCAATTAATAGTTGGTATTAATGATGAGCGCATACAATCTAAACTGCTGTCCATTGAGCCAAAAACAGGAGAAATTGTGTCATTCAAAAGAGTTTATGAATTGGCAATAGCTGCAGAATGCGCAAAGAAAGATGTATCCGATATGAAGGACTCCCCTACCATACATAAAACCTATACAACGATAGCAAAACCATGTTGGAGGTGTGATGGTAATCACCAACCATACAACTGTACCTATAAGGACAAGACTTGCTACAATTGTCAACAGAAAGGACATATTTCGCGTAAGTGCAGGAATGAAAAGCGTCCAAATCAAGAAGCAGACACTACAAAAACATTTCGTGGGAGAGGTCGTGGACGAAGCTATACTGGCAGCAGAAAACAAGTCAAGTCAACAACTAAAGGTGGTAGTACTCACCAAGTTGAAAACATTGACAATGAGGTTTTGGAGGGAAATGATTTTGATGAAGATGACTATTATAGTTTTAATGAGATCAATTATTGTGAAGGAAATCTCAATAGAGCTAATCTGGGTAGAGTTGATCCTTTTATGTGTAAAATGAATATTGAAGGTCAATCAGTTGATTTAGAAATTGATACAGGTGCAAGCTTTACTTTGTTAAATGCACAGGAATTTAAAAAATTATGTAGATTTAACCCAGAATTAAGGCAGGGGTTGCAGAAAGTTGATGTAATTTTGAAGACTTACACTGGTGAAACACTGGATGTCAATGGTGTCGTTAAGGTGGAGGTTGATTATAATGGTCAACACTTCACATTACCGGTGATTGTTGTATCAGGTACAGGGCAGAATTTGCTAGGTAGAAATTGGCTTGAAATTATTCAGTTAGACTGGAAAAAATTGGTACACCAAGTCAAGGTAGAGTCTAGTGATCATGATAGTTACTTGCATAGGGTAAAACAGAAGTATAATGATGTTTTTACACCAGGTTTGGGTAGTTATAATGGAGATAGTGCCAAGATTTATGTAAAGAGTGATGTGAAACCAAAATTTTTTAAGGCACGTCCCTTAGCTTTTGCGCTGAGAGAAGCCACTGATTCAGAGTTAGACAGGCTTGTAGAGAATGGTACTCTCACACCAGTACAGAATTCTGAGTGGGCAACACCTATTGTGGTAGTGTCAAAACCATCTGGGGGTGTTCGCATTTGTGGGGATTATAAAGTTACTATTAATCCTGTAGCTGAATCTGACACATTCCCATTACCCAAGATTGATAGCTTACTTGCAAATTTGGCTGGTGGTAAAACCTTTACAAAATTGGATTTGAGTAATGCATATCAGCAAATGCTGCTGGAAGATGACTCCAAGAAATATTGTGTCATCAACACTCATCGTGGTTTGTTCATGTATAATAGAGTTCCTTATGGAGTGAAAATGGCTCCCGGAATTTTTCAACGACATATGTATAATTTGTTAAGAGATATACCACATGTTACTGTATATATAGATGATATACTCATTACAGGTGTCTCTGATCAAGAGCACAAAGAAAACCTTGAGAAAGTTTTGAAAAGATTGCATGATAAGGGTCTTAAGATTAAGTTTGATAAATGTTATTTTTTTAAACCAAGTGTAACCTATTTGGGTCATGAGATAGACTCAACGGGTCTCCATCCTTCTAAGGATAAGGTTAGGGCTTTTGTGGATGCACCAAGACCAACTGACGTCCACACATTGAAGTCTTTCTTAGGTGGAATCAATTTTTATGGGAAATTCCTCAAGAATTTGTCCTCAGTGTTGGCGCCCTTATATAAATTACTACGTAAGGGTGTGTCATGGCATTGGTCGCAGCCACAAGAGCAATCATTTAAAAACGCTAAGAAATTACTGATTTCAAGTGGTGTTCTTGTACACTATGACCCATATAAACATATTGTATTGTCATGTGATGCTTCGGCTTATGGCATTGGTGCGGTTTTAGCACATAGAAATGATGATGGTTCTGAGCATCCTATTGCTTTTGCCTCTAGAACCTTGAATGATGCTGAGAAAAACTATGCACAGATTGATAGAGAGAGTTTAGCTATCATGTTTGGAGTTAAACATTTTCATAATTATGTTTTTGGATTACATTTTACATTGGTCACTGACCATAAGCCTTTAGTTTCATTGTTTCATGAACACAAAGCCTTGCCTAGTATGGCCAGTGCTAGAGTGCAGTGTTGGGCAATAGCTCTTGCAGCGTACGATTATAATTTGGAATTCCGTAGAGGCCTAGATAATGGTAATGCTGATGCATTGAGTAGGTTACCATTGCCTAATAAACCAAAATCTGTACCAGTACCTACAGATACAATTTTATTGCTAGAGCACTTGTCAGGCCAACCCATTAGCGCTGATCATATTAGAAAATGGACAGCTAGTGATCCACTTCATTCCAGAGTGCTGTCATTTGTTAAAAGGGGTTGGTCAAATGAATTTAAATCACAAGAGTTGAAACCATTTTATGTACGTAGACATGAGCTCAGTGTACAGGAAGGTTGCATATTGTGGGGTAATAGAGTGATTATTCCACCTGCTGGACAGCAGGGAATTTTAACAGAATTGCATGAGGCACATCCAGGCATCTCTGTAATGAAAGCTATAGCTAGATCATACGTTTGGTGGCCTCACATGGATCGTGATATTGAGAAAGCAGTTGAGAATTGTGAAATTTGTCAAATTCATAGAAGTAAACCTAGTAAGGCTCCATTACATTCCTGGCCTTATCCAGAAAAACCTTGGGAAAGGGTGCACATCGACTATGCAGGACCATTTTTAGGCAAAATGTTTTTGATTGTAATTGATGCATACTCAAAATGGTTGGAAGTGAAAGTCATGAATAATTCTACATCTACAGCAACTATTGCTGAATTGAAAGAGATATTTTGCACTCACGGCCTACCAGATATATTAGTTAGCGATAATGGTAGCCAATTCACAAGTGATGAATTCCAAAAATTCATGCTGTATAATGGTATTAAGCATGTGACCTGTGCACCATTTCATCCAAGTTCTAACGGTTTAGCCGAACGAGCAGTTCAGACTTTCAAAAATGGAGTGAAAAAAATGAAACAGGGAGACATTAAAACTAGAGTATTAAGATTTTTATTTAGATATCGTAGTTCTCCACATTGTGTAACTGGTGCTACACCAGCTAAGTTGTCTATGAATAGGGAACTGCGCACCCATTTGTCACTTGTTCACCCTGATTTTAGATCAAAGGTAATATCAAAACAGGCAACACAGAAATTGCATCATGACAAACATGTAAAATCACGAGTTTTTGATATTCATGATAATGTGCTAGTACTAAACTATAGTGGTAGAGGGAATAGATGGTTGCCAGGTGTTATTGTCGAAATTACTGGTCCTGTATCATACAAAATTCAATTGGGCGATGATAGAATTGTTAGAAGACATGTAGACCAGATTAGAATTAGGAAATTTGATAGTACTGTTAGTGAGACTAGGGTAAATGAGGAGTTACCAGAGATTCCAATTGTTAGTAAACAAGTTACTCCTTCATTAAGTATTCCAGTTTCTAACGAGGACTTAAATCCCAGTGTTGTTCTTGATACAAGTCCTAGTAACATTACTGATTGTAATCCTTGCCCAGATCACTCAATTATTCAGACTCCTCCAGATACCACTCCTAAAGATACAGTTAAACCAAAGATTTCTAGCCCAGGTGTTATTACTACTAGGTCTGGACGCATTGTCCACAAACCAGATAAGTTGAACTTGTAATTCTGAGTTTATTAGTGTTTTGACTTTCCTCATTGTAAGCCATTTTAGGGGGAAGGGATGTGATAACTTTGTATCTATATTTAGTACGCTAGATGTTCTTTTGTTAGTGGTCACATGACCACCTTTGAGTTTGTAATGGCGGCAAAGCTTGCCAAGTTGTAGTCTGCAGTTCCACAGAATAAAACTGAGTTAACGTGTTAATTGCCGTTTTTCCTGTGTGGATCTTTGCGGTGGTGGATAGGCAAACACTCGGTTACTACACAATATGCCACTATGGAAAGACTTGCTGGCTAAAAAATTGTGTTGAGCTTCTAAATCTATATATATCAAAATATATGAAGGAAGAGCACATAAGTGCAGACAGGGACAGAGACTGGAAATCGAATCTATGCAGATCCAACACACAGCCTTGGTAAATTTATGAATATGATCCTCTTACGAAAATTGAAATTTATTGTATCTTTAGGGACGACGTCAAAAGATCGATGTCGGATAAAAAACTTAATTCCTTTATTTTTTTTCCAAACCCCCCTACCCCCCACTAAAACTTAATTGATAAATATTGGTCATGGCGTCAGACTACATTCACCATTAAATACAAATTGATAATCGGACAGTAGTATTGCATAGCAGTTGGTTGTCGGGTGGGTGTAAAAAGAGTTTACAAATGCATCTCATTTGACGCACAGATTTACACTCGAACCAAACCATTTTTCTGTGTTTTTTTTT